AGATGGTAGTCAAAGATTTATCAACCACAAACCTAGGGCTGTCCTTCGAGTCCTTATTATCTATTCTGCTCATGTTCTAAGAATATCCACGAAACTAGGAACATTGTTCTGATGACCACTCTAACAATTTTTTGAACATTACTTACAGGTCTCGATAATGACAGCGTGACTGAGGGAGAGGGTGACTGAGGGAGGGGGTGACAGAGTGACTGGGTGACAGTGACTGAGGGGGTGATGACAGAGGTACTGAGGGAGGGGGTGACAGAGTGACTGGGTGACAGTGACTGAGGGGGTGGTGACAGAGAGGGGATGACAGAGAGGGGGTGACTGGTGACAGTGGGAGGGGGTGACAGAGTAACTGAGGGAGGGTGTTAGTAATACCTTTGTTTCCCTGGTGGTCCAGTGTCCTGGCTCCCTGGTGGTCCGGTGGCCTGCCTCTCCAGTCTGTAGCTCCGCCAGGTGTGAGCTGCAAACTGTGCTGTATCTTGCGATATCCAGAAGTCAGAGCGTTGCCGTGGTAACCCGCGGCAACGCTTTGATTGGCCAAAGATCGCAAGATTCAGCACAGTCTGCAGCTCAGACCCGGCGGAGCTGCAAATTATGCTGGCTCTCTCCCTGGGCAGACGGGAGGGGCCTCGCACCCGGCGGCACACAGGGCAAGCCGCCGGCCCCCTCCCAATTTTCGGCAGATTTTACCCTTATTCAGCTGAAATGGGATATGCCCATTTTCGGACTAAAATTTCGGCAGCCGAAGTTTTGGTGCATCCCTACTGGGAGTATTATTATTTCTGTGGAGCTCTGTTATACACTCAGACACACCAACATTATGGAGCTCCTGGAAAAGAGGGACATTAGGATAGAAAAGAAGAACATAAGGATCTAGTTCCAAAATAGGGACTGTCCCGCCTTAATCGAGATACTTGGGAGGTATGCTTTAGACTGTAGAGGATGAATCATGTTGTCTACCACGGCTGTTACCAAACTATGACAAATGTTCCGCAGAAGATGCCGCTGGGAAAAGAGCAGACGATGAACAAAAACATCCATTACAAAGGGGTAGGACTGAGAAATGATTGTCTTTATGGGTGGAATAACCATGGACCAAGGGACAGACAATCGCAATACAGGGATCTACTGTCCACATATTGCCTTATTCCAACCCATTTGTCCAGCTGTCTATATCTGCAGTATGAGAACGCATGGAGCTCAGTCAGTATTTGGTTTTGAGTCCAATTCATTTCAGGTTCCAGTCCGGTTCAGCTAACGCGTAATGTGCTCCGTTCTACCCAGAGCCTCTTCACTATCTCTTCTTTAATTCCACTTTTCTCATTCCTGACTCTCCTGATATTATTTTAATTTCTAGGCCATGTTATTTTTTCTCTTGGGTCTCATCCTGTCTTTCTGCTGTTGATTAATCTATCGTCATTTCTTCCTCTGTCAATCACTCTGTATTTCTCCAGTTTTGTTTCTTTACTTCTCTTTCTTCAACATGAAATGTTTCCCTCTCTCTCTGATTCAGCTTCATACCCACTAGAAAGAATTGTATAAATAAAGCTGGGGGCGGTTTTCAGTTACCAGAGTACAATAAACCTTTTTTTTTCTATTTCTTCAAGTGCTGAAACAAGAACAATACCCCCACCCCTCTCCCTCTGGCTCGGCAGAACAATGACTAAGAGAGAGACTGTGAAGGGTCTGTCCCTGAACCCCAGGCCAATGACATCAACGCACCGAGAATGGCTCGCTATTCATGATGAGATGTATGATAGGACGGGGTGAAAGATGCAGACACTATCAAACTCTGCCCAAGCTGTAGACACATTGAGTAGGTATATAATATATAGAAGGATACTTTGGTATTAAGATAGAAAAATACACTAGACTCAGAGCAGGAAATGATTAAGCTGTGGTTGAGTGAGGGAAGTTTGAAGATAAGATTTGCTAGAGGGTGGAAAACGTTACCGAATCCTTGGCTTGCACTGCCCCGGAGACAATGACTAAAGGACTGCAGGTACATAACACGTATTAACCAAAATCCGTCCACTTCTCTGCAGAGCCATTCTGGTATTGCTCTGGTATTTCTGTAGACCAGTCTCATGACTTTTGAAAAGCTATGTCCGCACTAACCAATTAAAGTACTCAACATCAAGTGTTGCTTATCACAGGACTAGAGATATCCGGTCATTGGCTATAAATATTTTGGAGGTAACAGAGAAGGCAGTAAACTCCAGGTAAGAATATTTTTTAATGTATACACTTGCGTATCTGTTGTCCAGAAATATATATAACATTACACTTGCCTAATGGATTACATTGTTAAACACACATTTTGTGTACGACTGGCTGTTAAGATTCAGCTTACATTTATATACCGCCGGCATCAATGTATGTCTACCAAAACAGCATCTATTTACTACCAGAACGCTAAGCGAGGTCAGTAGTCACTGAGAGATAAGTGCACATGTACAGCACACAACAAACACATAGGATTCAATGTCACGTGAAAGAGAGTAACAATGTATAGACACACAATATACAGAATACATGTTGTACCTAAGGTTTATGACTGATAGGTCCACTTTATATATATAAAGGAGAACTCCTAATTCTCTATTTAAGGCAAAGCTCTTCCTAAGGATAACTATCTCTGTTCTTTGACCTTGTCCCATTGAAAACCCAAAATGAAGTGTCACTGCAGTCGGCTCGAGGAGAAGACAGACAGTGAGAATGACCGCACTCCATTCCTCCCCAATCTGCCCTTCCCTGTGGTTTTAGGAGTGCAGTCTATTTAAGAAGATAATTAGCAGGTCTCCAGCTCCTGTCAGTTCATGTAGACACGCTCATCAGAAGCAAAAAGAAAAAAGAAATAATGTCCAGATCGTGGCTGGATCAATAGGAGAGTTATTCTTACATGGAGAGAGGCTTGTGATAGGAAGTTACTAATATAACAGGAGTAGTGGAGACACTGTGTCTGTGGCACATGGGAGACGACTATTGATTCCAAAACCAAAAGGTCAGTCGATGAGCCAACAACAAACTGTGACCTCAAATCGGAGAACACAGGGCACGGTACAGGAGGCCGGGTGTCAGCGACGGGATGACACATAAAGTCAAATACATATAAAAAAAATGGATATTAGCTCATTAACCTCTTCACTGCCATAGAGGACGCTGTTTACAGATCTTTTGACTCATTGGTTAGCGGTAACGGGCAAACACGTAAGGTAAGTAAATAATATTACTTCGGACTCTAAAAGTCACAGTAAGCAACGCTATTTAGGATGTTATTACGCCGTAAGAAAGAAGCTTTCTGGAACATGACAGGGAGAGAAACGATGGCTTATTTCAAAACTATATAAACACAGGTTCACAATAGAAATCTTTATTGGAATTTAAAAATAAAACTTTTCCATTGACTCCAAACCCATCTAGAGTGCATGACAGACAGTCCTATTTTGTTCTAGGTACAATACAGCAATTTTACCTGTTTCAAAACCTATAAATAATATAAACAATGAAACGCCTTCTGGAGGTTGGCTTTCAGGTACAAACCCGGCTCCACTTCCCATTTCCGAATCCAATTCAGAGATCCCATTGATCTGAACACCCAGAACATCATAATGGGACCCAGGTCAAGAACAGACACTGGTCAATGTTACAGATTATTTAGGACATTGCTTGTCAAACTTCCCTATGGGGAGGAAGAGCAATTTATCTGCCAATTCCCTATTGATGTAATTGTTATTAATTCATGCGATAAACTCCGTAAGCGACTGTCGAAAAAAGTCTGAAAGTCACCTTAATATCAGCACAACTCATGTCACCCGCTGCTCCAACACAATGTGCACCCAACAATGACCATGACAGGTTTCCCAACCCTGGGAACACTGTGGAGCCCACGAGGGAATGTCTGTAGACGTGCGTTGGGCCACAAACCACAAGTTTGGGTGGCACTGCTCTTGGTCTCAATTGAGATGACAGATAGGTCATTGAATAAACTCTATGTACAGAAAACCCCTCAAAATAAGATTTAGCTTGAGCCATCTCGACATTAAAGAGTTCACACTAACAATAGCTATACATCTAGAGCAGGCAGTCAAAATGATTGACAGCAACATGAAAACCATTATTTGGATCATGAGGTGATACGCACAACATCTAACCTGGAACTGTATACTACTCAATATAAATACATTGCTCCTCGGCAATCCATACCAGCATCAATCCTTCACAAATACTAACACAACCGTCTTTCAGGCTAAAACGAACAAAACATGTCAAATTACGATACCTGTTAGAGAAAGTCTGAATACGGGCTGGATTAAATTACTTAAAGATAAACTGGGGCTCCCTTGCTGTAGAACTGATGAATTCTAGCTAAATTTACTGCAATTCTGCACAAATTAACTTTGGTGCCCACCATGGCAAACTCCAACCCAATTGGGCCCAGACTACCAACCCCCCCACTCCCATATTACTATGAGAATCCTCATTGCAGATACCACTCACGCTCCACATCCCTATCGATCACTCATGGTTTCAATCAATCCTTCATCTTATAGTCAGTGCTTGTACATTCCTAGATCACTTCAGGATGATAAACGTTCCCCCACCTGATTAATAAACACCCTTGTTAACGTGATTCAATCCCTCAGGTGGAGGAGGCTGATCACAAACCCCAAATTTATCATCCATGCCGGGACAGCAAGCAGGAGAATGCGGTTGTGATTTCCAGTTCTGACTACCCCAATGAATGATAAATCTGGTGTCTAGGAAGGTCTGCAGGGTATGACTAAAGCCTGTTTAACTCCTCGACGTCCGGGACCGGTAGCAATGCTTAGCACAATAAAATCTGCTATACATCAAAAAGCATAATTTACTCTGCAAAATCTAAAGACATTAATATGATAAAGGATAGTAGACCGGGAGAACACAGTGTGCGGCCGTATTTACTGTGACGGAGAGTGCGGCCATATTTACTGTGAAGGAGAGTGCGGCCATATTTACTGTGACGAAAGTGTGGGCGTATTTACTGTGAAGTAGAGTGCGGCCTTATTTACTGTGAAGTAGAGTACGGCCGTATTTGCTGTGAAGTAGAGTGCGGCCGTATTTACTGTGAAGTAGAGTGCGGCCGTATTTACTGTGAAGTAGAGTACGGCCGTATTTACAGTGAAGTAGAGTGCGGCCGTATTTACTGTGAAGTAGAGTGCGGCTGTATTTACTGTGAAGTAGAGTACGGCCGTATTTACAGTGAAGTAGAGTGCGGCCGTATTTACTGTGAAGTAGAGTGCGGCGGTATTTACTGGGAAGGAGAGTGCGGCCGTATTTGCTGTGAAGTAGAGTACGGCCGTATTTGCTGTGAAGTAGAGTGCGGCCTTATTTACTGTGAAGTAGAGTGCGGACGTATTTACTGTGAAGGAGAGTGCGGCCGTATTTACTGTGAAGGAGATTGCGGACGTATTTACAGTGAAGTAGAGTACGGCCGTATTTGCTGTGAAGTAGAGTGCGGCCGTATTTACTGTGAAGTAGAGTGCGGCCGTATTTACTGTGAAGTAGAGTACGGCCGTATTTACAGTGAAGTAGAGTGCGGCCGTATTTGCTGTGAAGTAGAGTGCGGCCGTATTTACTGTGAAGTAGAGTACGGCCGTATTTACTGTGAAGTAGAGTGCGGCTGTATTTACTGTGAAGTAGAGTACGGCCGTATTTGCTGTGAAGTAGAGTGCGGCCGTATTTACTGTGAAGTAGAGTACGGCCGTATTTACTGTGAAGTAGAGTGCGGCTGTATTTACTGTGAAGTAGAGTGTGGGCGTATTTACTGTGAAGTAGAGTGCGACCTTATTTACTGTGAAGTAGAGTGTGGCTGTATTTGCTGTGAAGGAGAGTGCGACCTTATTTACTGTGAAGTAGAGTGCGACCTTATTTACTGTGAAGTAGAGTGTGGCTGTATTTGCTGTGAAGGAGAGTCCGGCCCTATTTACTGTGAAGTAGAGTGCGGCCGTATTTGCTGTGAAGTAGAGTGCGGCCGTATTTACTGTGAAGGAGAGTGCGGCCGTATTTACTGTGACGGAGAGTGCGGCCGTATTTATTGTGAAGGAGAGTGCGGCCGTATTTACTGTGAAATAGAGTGCGGCCGTATTTACTGTGAAGTAGAGTGTGGTCACTATCCTGTTCTTGGCGTTTACACACTCCTATACGACCATACCAGTCTATATGGGGGTATATAAAGTCACAGCGTCGAGAACGTTCCCTTCAATTAAAGAGATATTCTGTTCTTCTAAGACTAAAGGGAAATGAAATCTGACCTTGGATTGTGGATATAGACGGGTTAATATTTCCAGGGATCTCAGAGTTAGGCCCCTTAGACATCATCGGGTATGTGAATTATGTCTGTATCGCCCATACATACAGAGAAATCGTCAGCCTGTGATCGCTTTACATTGTATTACACTCGGCCAGATAACCAGCAGAGGTTCGGTAGATGGCACAGCCGCCCTTAGTGTAGAAAACCATCTCTTATCTGAGTCCATCACCTGCCAGGAATTAACGCGGCTTTAATAAGCTGTCACTGCTTCTGGAGGAGACGGTAAAGGGATCTCAGTCCCGCAACGGGGGAATATCAGCAGAGAGCATGTACTCTCATCTATTAAGAGAAAGTCAATATCAACAGTGGATGCTCTGTTTGCACTGGTGACAGTCACACCGAGAGGACAATAGTCTGCAATGTATCCTTCCTCTGTCCTACCTCAACATCCGACCTCCGTCCTTGCTCAAACTTCTCCAGATTCTTTACAACCACTGCACCATGTAATAAGTGTGTGTTTACAAATTCCTTATATATCGTAATAATATAATATCCAGCACAAAGAGCAGCCCTAATGCTTACACATAGCTGCCAAGAAACCTGTAGCTGGTGCGTCAGTCTTGTGTTCCTGTTTTCTGTGCGCAAGTCCCTTTATACGGCGGCAGCCTAACCAGATGGGTGCGTCAGCCTATTCCAAGAGCAAGTTAGCAGCGCTTTAGAAATGTGTACCCCTGGCTGGCTGCCCCCGTGGGTGCAGCCATTCTGCATGCGTGATTGACGCAATAAAAGCCCGTATTATGGTCAAAAGCGTAATCTCTGCCAGACTTTGATCAGTTATGTCCTGGCTTCGTAGCTGCCAAAGCTATCAGGTAGGGCATTAAAACAAGTCTCTGATGTGCTGCAAGGTTCTGCTGAGCTCACGGTTAGGTGTATAGAGTTCATTTGTACTAGGTAATAATTTGCTGATGGTATATCGAGGACACGATGCCCTCTGGTAAAATGTTAGCAGGACATTTACTTAAATTTGGTGAATAGTTTATCTACCTTGTACAATGCCCCGTCCCGTGACCCCGGATAATTAAAGTGTTAACATATGACTGCAGTGGCCGAGATCGTAACGCATGCTGGTAAAATTATTTGGAAAGGTCCCGGACCACCTCTTCTTATGTTTGGTGGTATTTTTCCTCATTTCAAGAAATTCATGAGATTAACATATGGCCAAGAACTGTAAAGGAAAGTAAATGATTAAATAGGGTCTGACATTTAGAACATGCTGGAGAAAGGACGGCACATTGACTGATATTAATGTTATCTCGGTCTCTCCCCTCAGTCTGTAAGCAAATTTCACCAAGAGTCAATTTATTAATCTGAATTTATCTTCGGCAGCAAGATCTCGCAGTAACGCCTCAGCGCAGGCAGCAATATGGCTTGTCAGGTATAACGTGCGCTGCTGGGACAGATAGCAAAAAGTAATCTCTCTGCCTCTCCTGCACAATCTCATTAAATGGAAAGGGTCTCTCACCGCTCAACCGGCAATGCATACATTTATGGTACCCTAGAGAAGCGGAGGCCAAGAGGTGCGATCTCCAGCCATTGCAGGACTACAACTCACACAATGCTTTGCGCACCTTTGAATTTCTCTTTTAATGCCCTGCCTGATGTTTTCACTAGGACCTTTTTACTGGTTTTTGGAGGGCTTGGTGGTCGCTACTTATCCCATAATAATAACAACCTGCAACCACCTGGACTCTCCTAGCATCATTTTGACACCCTCATAATGTGCTTTATGCAGAATTTGGGGAAAATGTAATTCCGTCTGACAGAGGGTTAAGTTGAGTGTTTGCTTTGCACAGGCAGTCCGTCAGCTGTCCCCAATTAAGACCCTTAAAGCAGTTGTAGTGGTTTTAAAACAGTTTTCGTTTGGCTGCCTCCGATTTAGGAACTTCTTCGCCATCTCCCACCAATTTCCGATTGATTCTTCATTTCTGCAGTAACATTTGCCAAGCCCAGTTTTACTTCCATATTTGAAAGTGCGGTTGCTGTAACTGTCCCGATTCCAGCTGCGCCCACCACCCAGTGAAATTTAAACAAGGCCAACCATAAATTATACAAAACTAAAAATATTCAGGTTTCTCCTCTTCAATTAGACACTCTGGAGGTTTCTACCACTTAAAAGGTGTAATGGCAGCACGAAGGAGCCACTTTCTATAATCGTGACAACTTACCACAGCTCCTGTCCTAAATGCCAATCCTAAAATACACTCCGAATAAAAACCTACATTCTTCTTGTCAACAGATAATTATTGGCATTATGTCATTTTATTTTCGAATCAGCCCCTATGATGGATAACAGAGTTACCAAATGTTGCAATGAAATAAAACAGCATAGCAAGAATTCTCAAACAATAAGCTTGGCCTATACTTGATATCATCCTACAATGAGGCACTGTTTAGCGAATAAGCCTCAGAAGGGTGCATCACATGTGGCTGCTGACTGTAAGAAGGCCAATATAAGACTCAGACTAGGCTTATTAGAGGGGCCCACGGAGGCATGGGGCATGTGAGAAAATCTAACTCTGCTGACTTTTTTTGTCTTTAGGTGCCCATTCTCAGTTGCATTGTGGGAGTTATAGCTCTAAATTCGAAGGGCCCTGTTTTTTGTATTTATTACTGTGGCAGTGGAAGTATTATTGAGCAAACTGCAAGACATGCATATAGCTAAAACAGACATACATAGCATCACGGCACGCTGAGCTGCAAACTGTGCCAATAAAGCAGTTAAGAGAATTATGCCTGGCACGGATCAATAACGGGTTAATAATATAAACACATATAAATGTTATCCTAATTCCGCTCATGACACTCAGCCAGCCATTCAGCTCATGACAAAGAAAATCCTCCGACACTAAGCCAGTCTTTCAGTGCCATGGGAAATGTTGACCAAAGACTTACTCTGCAAGACTCAGGGCAGGATGGGGTTAATGTACCCCCCAAGGTTTGCAGACTGAGAAACAATGAAGGTCTATTCATGTGAAATTATAGACTGAGCAGGCACTCCTGGCCTCGCTACAATCCACAGCAGATGCATCAATTATTCGACTCGTCTGCCACTGGCTCCAACTTGCGGCAAGTATTTTTGGGCCCGGCGGAAGAAAGAGAGGGATGGCGAATGTGGGTGTGATGGAACGTGGCCAAGTGATGGAGCTATTTATATTCACAGCTTCTCAGGGAGTTTTTAAGTTGGTACATTTTTTCTCTTTTTGTCTTTTCCATGTCCTTTTTCACTGAACAGAAAACTAGAAGATGCAGTTAGACTGTGGAGACAATGAATGCAAGACGTGGGGTCAGTGAATGTGACCAAGCTTTGTTTTAGAGAGTTAATTCCACACAATGTCATATCTTAATGAACAAAATAAAGACGTGGCAGCAGATCCACACTGGGATGGTATCCACTCCATGCTGGGACCAGATATTTCAGGATTGTGATGTGACTAAACACCAAACACCATTTGCGACCCATTAACCCATAGTTTGCACGCATTTTGCAATCAAACATACTGGAAAGGAGCTCCAGGTAACATTTTCTTCAGAAAGTCTTACGTTGCGGTTGGACTGTTTAATCAAATCAAGTGTTGATCTAAAAAAAACGAAGCCCTCCGATTAATAAAAAGTTATCAAGAAAGTTTATCACTCAGAAACACACAATCATTAGTGAAGACAAACGTTTGTTTGGAGGCGAAGGTGTAGCAGGAAACGGAGATCTCCTACATACCCTTTTTAATGCAGGGCGTTACTATAAACAGCTGGAGTCCTGAGCGCTCTCTGCCTTGCATCGCCACTCCAAACCTTAAAATAGTATCCGTTCCTCTTATCACCTGCCAACATTTCAAGTGGGTATCTGGAACCCCAGCTGTTCAGCAGCTGTCTTTGGTTTTACCATTACTCCCCAGTCTCCCTTGTCCAAGTGCCCCTGTGAACTAGCTCCAATGTCTTTTTATATGTTCTAACGCTCGCTCTCTAATAGGCATTGGGTAACTTAACACCTTCCTTGCCAGGCATGCCAGCATCACGTCATAAAACATGCTTCTCCACTGCTTTAAACCTGGCACGTCTGACTGCCGACACATTGAAAGATCTACCTACAAACGGCTCCTTCCTAATTGTTAACACATGAAGATCAAAAGATGTTTTGCTGGTGGTTTCCAGTGTATCTGTACGCCGTACGAACATACTAATAAACACTGATGGTGCCTTGTAGGAGAAAGCTACCAAACAGAGAGGGAGCGATGCCATCCGACAGTAACTCTGCCAACAATGTGTGGGATTGACATGACGTCACATCCATAAAACGCCCTAACACAGTCATTTATACTGGAGGCTTTGTTGTCACAAATGAGCAGTTTCATATTATTAAAACAGGTAGTTTGTATAAACATACAACGTACGTAACATATACAAGTCCTGATGTTGAGGATCATCGTGCCAAAATCTGTGAATTTGAACCGTATAAGATCAAAAGCCTACCATGACAGTAGGCAGCCAACATATGCAGGTGTGCACATCTGTAACCCACACGTACGGTGTTTGTGCACAATGCATTGTGGGACAGTTAATGGTGCCACACACGCACATGTCCCATTCACTAAGCAGAGGAATACCAAAATATTTTTTGCAATTTGCTGTCCCGGATCCCACCGGCCCAAAGTATTCATCATGCAAAGAACCAACATATATACATGACCCAACAACAAATCCCATAACCCTCTGCCAGTGTGTGCACAACCAAATAATAAGAATCATGGGAGTTGTATTCCAACAGATGTTAAGACACCTACTGGCACCCGCTGTTTGCATCGCCAAACAACTTTTGAAGTAACTGAATTTTTGTGATAGTTTCCCTTTAAAAAACACAGCGGCAGCTGTGATGTGTCTGAATAACATTCTCTCGTTGGTGAAGACTCAAAACGAATCTGCTTTTAACACAAAAGTAATTAGAGACAAACTAAATCTCGAACGTTAAGACCATTAACTTGTGACAAGCCTCGTCTTAAAGGAATAGATAATT